TCCTTTCCTTTCCTTTCCTTTCCTTTCCTTTCCTTTCCTTTCCATTCCTTTCCTTTCCTTTCCTTCCCTTTTCTTAAAGAGCCCCTGTTCCATTCTGGGATATTTCGGCAGCCTTGAATTCGCTGCCTCTGGCTAGGGAGGCTCGCTGTCTCTCAACCTTTGGGTCGACCTCCCTCCACAGCTCTTTCCCCCAGGGGCACCCAAGGAGGTCAAATGCCTTTTTAAAGTCCTGCTTTGCTGCCCAGACTCCAAACGCGTCCTATGAGGTCACACCTGCGCTGGGACTCTGCGGCCCAAAATACACCCCCGTTTTCTACTGGCTGAAACGTTACCCAGCCTGGAAATCCGACCCAATTGTTAGCTTCCCAGAGAAGGCAGAACAATGCTTGTCCGGTGACGTCTCCAAGAGAGCGATACACTCTGTGCTCCCAAAAGAATCCTTACAACAGGGGGTTCTCCTCTTACAACCGTTCGTTTAGTGGCCGTCTGCAATGGCGTCGAAATTTTACGTATCTATTTATTTGGTTCTTCATCAAAATGCCCATGAGTTCCAGTTCTCCTCCTCTTCCTCCTCCCCACACCTTTCTATACTGGTGTTCCTCGACTTAAAACCATTCGTTTAGTGACCGTTTGGTTACAAATGGTATTGAAAAAACGGATTTATGACCCTTTTTCGCCCTTATGGCCATCACAGCCTTCCCGTGGTCACACAATCAAAATTCAAGCATTTGGCAGCTGTCTCGTGTCTATGACAGCTGCAGGGTCCCCCGGGTCACGTGACCCACTTTTGCGACCTTCTGGTGAATGAAGTCCATGGGGAACCCTAGATTCACTTAATGACTGTGCAACTCACTTAACAGCTATGGCGATTCACTTAACAACAGTTGCAAGAAAGGCTGTAAAATGGGGCAGAAGTCAACAACTGCCTCGCTTAGCCATGGAAATTTTGGGTTCCACTGTGGGTCATAAGTCAAGGACTCTGTAAAGTCCACTTTTCTGCACCAGTTGGACTGCTGACTTCCTCTTTAAAGCTCCACACAATCGCTCCTCACAATTCTACAATGGCTGATTAATGGTGAGTTGCTTTCACAATCAGCGTTCTCTGGTGTAACCTTGCTGGCTGCTGCAGATAGTTCTCAACTTACAACCGTTCACTTAGTGGCCGTTCGAAGTCACCGCGGCACTGAAAAAAAGGGACAGGACCACTTTTCCACACTTACGACTGCTGCAACATCCCCATGTGATCACGTGGTTAAAATTGGAATGCTGGATAAATGATTCGTATTTGTGACCGTCGCAGTGCCCTGTGTGTGTGTGTGTGTGTGTGTGTGTGTGTGTGAGACGTGGTCCTCTCTTTCGACCTTCCGACAAACAAAGCGAACAGGGAAGCCCAGATTCGCTTAACGACTGCGTGGCTAAAACGTAAACCCCTCTTGGCTGGAACGTTCGTAAAACGCGGCACAATTCTCGCGTCGAGGCAGCAGAGTTTTGGGGCTCCGTTGGTGGTTGTAAGTCGGGGACTACCTCTAAACGCCTGAAATAAAATACCCAGGCCTAAAGTTAGAAGAAGCACTGGAAAAAAAAAAAAAAGCAGCGGGATTGGCTGTAGTTTCTCCTCAGCCTTGGGAACAAGGCCCTTCCAGCCCCATTGCTCAAGGCATTGAGGGAGGGGGGGGGTCTTCAACTGCCCCCACTCCTCTGTTTCTGATTCATGCTTGCATTGTCTTCCCGGACCAATTTGGGTGCCCTTATCCGAAATAGCCGAGCCGTCTGCCTTTCCCTTTTATAGCCAGGTTGCTATTGTGCGACCTGGTATGTGCGATGCTTCGGGTAGGGTAGGGGCCGGAAGCCAACTGACACCTGCTGTGACATTCAGGGGCCGGGAGGCGAATAAAGACCCTCCGCAGGGGACTCTCAGCTGCTCTGCCTTCTGCCCCTCCGACGTGACCAGCTTTGCCTGCCTGTGGCCCCCCGTCCCCCCGTCTCCGCCACGATGCCCCCCAAAAAACCTGAGCCGAAAAAACCTGAGCCCAAAAAGGAAGAACCCAAGGCCGCCCCGAAACCAGCCCCTCCACCACCTGAGCCAGAACGCAAAGAAGTGGAGTTTAACCCAGCCAACGTCAAAGTAAGGGGCTTTAAAGAAAAAAGGAAAGAAATAGGAAAACTGGTTTAGTTGGGGACGGGAAGGGTGGGGGGGGTGCTTGGTTTTTAAGGGATGGATTGATTCAGGGGGGTTGGACAAGGTCTCTGCCTTCGGGGCGCTTCAGTTCAGGAGCCTGCCAAGCAGGCATCAGCGGGTTGGGATGCATGATCTCGAGGGAACCCATCCGGCTCTTAAGATGCTTTGCTAAAAGACGCGACCGAACTACAAAGCAGCTTCCGGCATGGTTTCGCCTCTGCTGAGATTTTCTGGGCAGGAGTGACAGAGCAGCCATTGTCAATGTCTGTCTGTCTGTCTGTCTGTCATCATTCTCTGTATTTGTCTCTTTCTCTCTCTCTGTTATCTGTCTGTGTCTCTCTGTTTCTCTGTCTGTCTGTCTATATATATCTTTATCCATATATCTATATCTATCTATCTTTCTATCTCTATCATGTATTCATGTATCTGTGTCTTTTATCTACCTACCTACCTACCTACCTATCTATCTTACCGTGTCTATCTAGCTCTATCCTCTATTATCTATTATGTATCTGTCATTATCTGTCCATCAGTTTGTCTGTCCATCCATCCATCCATCCATCCATCTCTATCGTTATCATCTAGCTGTCTGTTTTATATCTACCTATCCTGTCTATCATCTATCACGTATCCATGTATCTGTCTTATATCTCTATCTATCTATCTATCTATCTATCTATCTATCTATCTATCTATCTATCTATCTATCTATCTATCTATCTATCTATCTATTTCTATCCTGTCTACCATCTATCATGTATCCATGTATCTGTCTTCTCTCTCTCTCTCTCTTTCTCTATCATCTCTGTCAGAAGTTTTGGCCGTAAGTTGAAGACTACCTCTTAAATATTCTTTGAGCAGACGGACCAGTGAGTCTATTTCGAATTCCGCATCCGATCAGGATTTGAACGCAGTTCTCCTTCCTCCTATTCACCCCCTATGGCTTTCTCAACCCCTCCCATTGACCAAGAGAGAGACAATGGGGTGCAGCAGTTAAAGCCCTGAGCTTAAAAACGAGCTCCGCCTCCTTATTCTTTCCGGAGTCTGATTGGGTGCCACGGCCCAGCCTACCTCGCAGGAGTGTTAAGGGGATGAAATGAGGGCAGTGTAATAGGCAACAAACCTTTTTTTTATTTCAATTGCTTTTCATTGGTCACATTTATTTCGGGCGGCAGGAGGAAAACATTAAGGATGGTGGATATAATCACAATTTCTTTCTTGTTTCTTTCTTTTTTTTTTCAAACCAACCAGAGCACAGAAGCGGGATATTTGCAGGAAATGTGGTCACAACTCCATAATCTCAGCCCCCGGCCGCCATTTTGACTTTTTTGAGTCCCTGTCAGTCAATCTGCAGGGAGGAATGGCAGCTATTTGGCACAGACTCTTAATAGCCGACAACTGCTGGAGGGCGAGGGGCGGGGGAGAGGTGGCATTGTCTTCCAGATTACCTGATGCCTCTTGACTTACCTTGGCCTTTGTCACTGTCCAAAATAGAACCATGGTTTATTAAGAGAACTGTCACAGAATTTTCTCCATCACTGACCCTCCCTCCTCCCTCCCGGAACGTCTCTTATTTCCCCCTTGCAGCTGTGCTGTCTTTGTCTTAATAAAAAAGGTCGAGGGGGAGGAGAGTTGGTTTTATGGGGAAAGGGAAGATGGAGGAGGAGGAGGATGGGAGAGGCTTGAGTAGAGGGTTGGACTAGAAGACCTCCAAAGTCCCTCCCAGCTCTGTTGTGAGGAGGAGGAGGAGGAGGAGAGGAGAAGGCGAAAACGAGAACAAAAAGAAGGAAAAGGAGAAAGGAGAAGATAGACAAGGAGGAGGAGGAGGAGAAGAAAGAGACGATAAAAAAGGAAGAGGAAAAGGTGAACAGGGAAAGAAGGAGTAGGAGGAGAAGGAGCAGATAGGTAAGGAGAAGAGGAGGAGAAGAACATAGACGAAGGAAGAAGAGAAGAAGAAGGAAAAGATGAGAAGGAGGAGGAGAAGAAAACAGGAGGAAAAAGAGAAGGAGGGAGAAGG